CCACCCTTTTCACTCAGATTAAAAATTCATTCGGATCGAGCTCAATCGGATCAGAATAACCGGAACGGGCTGTTTACATGACGCATTTTTATTCCGAACGGCTGTTTAATCCGATTGCTTTTGTCCATGTAAACGTAGCTATTGAGAGCAACAGAGAGAGTTTTATGTCACGGGGGGAGTGCCGAGCTCGCTCGAGGTGATAGACGCATGCGCTATATTCGTGACGTGAAAGCTGACTACAGTTGGAAAAAAGAGCGCACAAGACACTTAATTTGTCTTAAAATACAGACATCCTGACAAATAAGTAACTGTTTGTAACCTTACCTCAGCTTAGAAGGCAGAGGGTGTCGGTCTTTTCTGCTCAGATTCAGCTATCGGAGCATGAAGCTAATGTTTACTYACAATGCTAATGCTCTCTTACTCTCTGGCCCTCAAGAGATAGAGGAACCAAATGGCTGGCTCACTGCTGCCAACTAGTGGTCAGAGGCTGAACTACAACACAAAAATGAATGGCTGGCAGGAAAGTTGACATTTTAAACCTTAATAAAAAATTGATACAGGGCTTTAGAATATCGATACAGTATCGGGGAAATGAAATATCGTGATATTTCAGTGTATCGATATTTTCTTACACCCCTATGACGGAGCAGAATGAAACATGGAGTACAGAAAATAAAACAATACGATTCAGTTTAATACTTACAACATATTAACTTCAGGTTTGCTTCAAACAGGCAGTCGATCATCCCACAACAGCTCAGTTTGGAAAACAACTCCAAACTCATAACCAGCTGTTCATGATGGACACCCAGAAACTTTCCAATTAAGTAAACATGAGCTATGTCTGTTTTAAAGCTGGTTCAATGGAAGAGTTAATACAGTCTTACAATATGACTCTGTACCAGAAAATTCACAGAATACAGTATAAAAAAAGGAATAAAATAAAACAAAGTGAATTTAATTTCTAATCAACTACATATTTAGCCATTTGTCTTTTTTTTCTGGTTAAAAACAACATTTAAATCCTTGCAAAATAAACTAGAAAACAAGCATCCTCTTCATGAGAAACTTACTAACAAAACAATGAAATATAACTAACCACATTTTTCCTGCCTTTTTTTTCCCAAAGAGTAAACTTCACTGTGGCTCAGATCAAGAATAATAACCATTTAAGCTACTAAACAATAGTTCTACCTCTTCACAAGAGGTCCCCAAAACTGTCAATTAAGAGAAGTTACTTTTGCTGTTTTGAAGTAATATTAATTTGCACAAATAATTAAAGAGCTCATCTAAAAGGTCCGCTCCTGCTTTGACAGAACTGAAGCGAGAGAACCCGTCACCGTTAGTGTCTGCGTTATGTGTTGCTGAAAATCTGAGTGAGTCATGTGTACGCTTGCAGCTGAAAAGTACTTTTAGTTACAGCTTGTTGAGTGAAGGACACTGAGCCTCGAGTGCGTGATGACAGATCTGCACGGAGGAGAACAGCAACAAGCAAAAGTGCAACAGAAATACCCACATAAACACAACCACTAAAATGCATGTGTACAGTTTAGTTTGAACACCTCTAACACTGCTCTGACACGGGCCTATGGTCAACTAAAAAAAAGGTACAAGTGGAGGAGGATGCATCTTTATTATACAGACAGAGGAGGAATAGAGTCAAGGGCAAAGCTGATGTGGAGGTGTGAGCTATGTGTGTTTAGGGACGACAGCAGGAAGTGATGCTACCGGCAATGCTGCTGTCAGTCAGCTGATTCTGATTTCAGTAAACTACCAAAGAAAAAACAAAGATGAAGAAGAGGAGGASGAGGCACCTTTCTTCATGGGATGTAACAATGAAACTTAAAAATACATTGTCAACTRCAACAAATAACAGTGGACATAACTTCAAATTAATTAACAACTAAACAGTTAGCACATCAGGCAGTGTGTCACTTTGTTTTCAAACCAGCTAAACTAATTGCTGCAACTTATACGCAAATTGATTATCTTTTGCTGAGACTTAAACTGAACAATACAAGTTTTGGTTTAATTGTTAAGCGGTATTGACTAACATTAACTCACATGATTGCTTTWGCACAGAAAGAACAAAAACTTTACAATGAAATGCAAATGTAGCCATAGCCATGTGACATATTACCAATGTTTCTGTAGGCATCCCTAATATTTATGTCGCCATTGTGTTCCAGCTCCTCTGCAGATGATTCAATCGCTCAGTCCTAAACGTGTGAAACAATCAAACAACCTAATTTACGTAATCTCCCAGGGTCCATGGTGATGGTCCTAAATTGACTGGATTTGGGGCACAGGTCTGAAACTCGGTTTAAAATCACACAGCGGTTTCTAATTTTACTGCGGGCTAATACACAATTTATCCACAATTAAACCATTTCTCACATGCACTCTAGAGACACAGCATGTGCATGCAAAGTCTCACAGAGGCATCTTTGTGAAAATAAACCATCTTCCAGTTAGTTTTCCACGACACAGACAGCACTCCAGCTGGTCTGCATTCAGTCAACACTGGCCTCTGTGCAGGATACAGAGCAGTTTATTGCATTTCAACTCATAAAATGATACACTACTCGTGTGTGGGCTGTTTTTTTTCCTTCTTTTTTTTTTTTACAAGGGTTGATAGTCGAGATCATGATTCAACGGTGCTATTTCAAGAAGTCCTTTCGTTAACACCTGCAACGTCTCTCCGGGTTCGTTGCTCTATTCCTGGGTGAATGGGTAGCAAGAGGCTAAAAGCAAAACTTGACCACTAATAATAACCGACACCAGCACCATCCGGTCCTAAATCTATCCAAGCTATGTATTACAGCTGATCAGGAAGTGTGGATTATGCTGCGCATAACACTTATAGGCATATTTATATCCTGGCATAGACAACAACTGCAGTAATAAACAGAAATTCATTTTTTTCCCATCCACTGAAGCAATAATGCCCTTACAACATAAAGGGCCAGTATCCATGTCTTGTAATTCCACACGTACGTGCGATTGTGCCACGCTAACAGGAGGGTCATGTGCCGAGAGGCAGTAATATTATCACTGACAGGACATTCCCAGTGGTTTGATTCTCCAAGGCGGAAAAACCTCAGTATTTTAATTTAATCCCCAGGGCAGTTATTTAGCCACTCCATAATCCCCAGGTCCAATGCTTAGTCTGATAATTATCCTTATTGGACACCCATAATGATTAGTTTTTGGTTTCACCCGAAGCAGCGCAGGCAGTTCCACGGGGGCGGTCGTGGCGTTCTGCGAAGTGGAAAACCAATCGTGCGTGGAACTGCTCAGGTCGTAAAGGAGAGGAGAGTGGCACGATGGTTAACATCGGACRACTCTTGGACAAGACGCTGAGGAAAAAAAAAGTCTACAACTTCGAGGGAGTACAAGGTTTGTCGTATAGCAGGTGGTGCTGCGTCAATATTAACAATTATCATCGTGCCGTGCAATCAAACTCTAAAAACAAGAGGGCATCTGCTGCAAATTATACCTCCCGAGGGCCAATTTAACCAAATCTAACTTGGAGCGTAATGGCCCAGGACTGGAAACGCACGGCTGCAGCAGCAATCAGGAGAAATTTAAGCATCTCATTCTCGACTTTGGTTGCAGTCTTATTTGTTTTTCCCCCTTTTGCATTTTCTCCCCAATGTTTCCAAACTGACAGCACAAAATGGAGACATTCTCTCCACATGCGGTGTAATAAATCCTGCCYGGAATACTAAAATGAAAAGAAAAAAAAACCTTTTCACACGTCAACCAACGATGACAAGCTTCAACGCGACTGCTTGCGCCTGATCCAGGAGGAAAGTGGGTTCACAGCAGGCTGGTATAATCTACAGCTGGCTGGGAAGGCCAGCCTTACTGAAAAGTCATCAGGGACTTTTTTTTTTCTCCTCCTCATCTCCTTCATGTCTGAAACAGGTCAAGGCAGGTCCCCCTCCATCTCCTTCCCTCCCTGTTCTGCTCTTTACGAGCCCCACCTGGCAGATTAGTGTTCCACCACAACAACTGCTGGCTGTTCTGCTGCCTACTTACACATGCACACATACAAGCATCCATTACTGCTCTGCAGGGCGAACACAGGGCCGTGTACTGTTCAGACTCTGACAACTTGTTTTCATATGTGCAATACCTGGACTATGAGGCATGGAGCAAACACACAGAGAGAAAAAACAAACAGATTCTCAGAACAAGTCACCTGGTGACTTTTCTAACACCTTCAAGCTATTTGACCCCTGGTTTTGTTGACCAGATGACAGAAACTCAACTAATAAAGGGGCTAAATTTGAATTGAACACATCAAAGAGTGGAAACACTGACACAAACAGTGTCTGAAACCCTGCATGATATTTGATTTGTGTAACGATTGGTCTCTTTTAGCAGCTGATCTGTCAACATACCTAAAATACTTTAGAAATAGCACAGTTTCCCATATCTGACTGTTTTTTTATTCAGTAAACTGAATAAAAAAAACAGTTTCCCATATCTGACTGTTTTTTATTCAGTTTACTGACCAAAATCAACTCTCAGAAGTGACTTTTTGATCCGGAGACCTTAAATTGGAAGCAGCTTGTGAACAGAAAACTGCTCGAAAAGCTMAAAAGTGTCATGTCTTTCAGGTACCATCTTCTTTCTGGAGGTAGGAGCCGTTTTCCTGCTTTTTTTTTTTTGTCTCTGTTTTTGGTCTCTAAGCGTTTTAAAAAGGGAATTGTAAGCATGAAAGTGAAAATAATTAGATAATTTACCCAGAAAATAACCCCACATTCATGTGGTGTTTAATAGAAACAGAGCAGGAAGGCTTACTTTTTGTCAAAACAACTGCAACATGATTTGTGAAGAACTCATGAACTAGCATAGTTTTTTAACAGGTTAACATCAAACACAGCGGCTAAACATGGCGATAAACAGCTAAAGACGTGCACAAGACCTGGTTATATTTAAAAAAATAAACAAATTAATGTCAGATATTAATATATTTGAACATGTATCACCTGCAAGGCTGGAAAGCAGAGCAGAAAGGCGAAGAGAAGGAGGACGGCTGGAAAACTTGCCGCAGTTCGGACTTCTGCAGTCCCAACCGGCTCGGTCCAACTCAGGAAGCCGCTGTCTGACTCCCCGAACACATTTCCGGGCCAAACCCCAAACACATTCAAGTAAACTGGAGTTTTTTCCCCCTCTTTTTTAATACCTTAGTGGCTCCTCCACCGCCGGGACAGAGGGGGAGAAAAAAGAAAAACTAAACAAGCAGCGGTTTAATCCACAACTTTCTCCCACAAATCCTCAGAGCAGACCAGAGAGAGAGAGCTGAGGGTGGGGGGTATCTGCTCCCCTCTTCCTCCTTTTTTTCCTCGGTCCTTTCGCTGTGTGGATATTTCCCTCCCTGGTCCGTCTGAAATCAAACCATCACATTCCAGCGCGTCCTTAACAATGAAAAAAAAAAAAAAAAAAAAAAAGGTTTTTTTTTTCTCAGCTTGCCGGAGGAGCCACCCCTCTCTGGATGACTCTTCCCCCGGTCTGACCGCACAGAGAACGCCCTTCCCGGCTGCGAGGTCCCGCCTCTCTCCCCTCCCGCTGAACTGCACGCAAAGTGCGGCYAGTGGAGGGGAAACAAGTAGCAGTSCAGACCCTTTTTATTAACCCTTTACTCGTGCCAAACATTACTACCCTCCTAACATCACAAAAGTTACACTTTATTAAATGTGACACAAACTATAAGTTAAATTCTACCCACTGATTGGATTACATCAGAGGTTCTCAAACTAAGGGTTCCTGGACCCCTAGGGGTCCGCGAGAAGTATCTTGGAGGTCCTCAAAAATTTTTTACTAAAATGTTGATTTGGTTTTAATTTTTTAAAATGCATGGAGAACAATTAAATAATAAAACAAACACAATAAACTTAATAAAAATAAATAATCCCATAGCATTTAGGGGTTGAAATGACAAAAAAATATCTTTTAAAAAAGCATGGGGTTTATGAGGGGGTCCCTGGAATTTTTTTCGCCCTTGTAAGGGGTCCCCAGACCCAAATGGCTTGAGAACCCCTGGCTTACATAAACAGAAGTGTTCTTTTGGCTTTTTTWAATAACAATGGATATTACATCACCCAAGCTCTGTAGCGTAAGTACAATCTTTGGAAATAGTATGTTGTTTGCGAAAAAGTTTAGTCACAATTTAGACCAGGGGCGGGCGATCCTGCATGCTTTACCGGTGTGTTGGAGTAGAGAAACAGGTACGACCAGGATTGCCCAATCCCGGTTTTGACCAGTGCTTTCCAAAGTTGGGGTCAGGACCTCTCTGTGGGTTACTAAAAATAAAGTGAGGGTCCCCAAATGATTTCCAGACATCAGTTTTAATCAAAATAAATTGTTAATGGAGTATTTTCACCATAATTATTGGAATAAATAAATAATAAAAAAAACAATAATCTTAAATGAAAAAAGTAGTATCATAATAATTAAATGTGTTTATATTGTTATTATGCTCATGTTTAACAGAACTATTAACAAAGTTTACATAACTAAACTAGTGTTATCTGGGGTCAGAAGTTTCTGCAACTGTTAACTTGTGGGCCGAAAGCTAAAACTTTTGAAAAGCAATGGTTTTGACAATAACAAAAAAAAAAAAAAAAAAAAGATGGATCTGCTGTAGTTTTCATGCCAGATCAATAGCTGGCACTGTAATTTTTGTATTTCAACAACACATGTATGACACTTTAGACTCGAATCGAGTATGAAAACAATGAAAACAAATATTTCCTATCTAGCGAGTACACATGTTTGTTTGTGCTGACTATGCTGCATGTGATTTTTTTTATTATAAGGGACTCGTACACCAGGAATCTTGTCAGAGTAAATCCAATGACACAAGAGCATTATCCTGTCCACCACTGTTACTGGTGAGGATCCACTAATGCAAGGGCATGTGTGCAGGGGCGCAGCCAGGGGGTGGCCTTGACCACCACAGATAAATCTTTGGCCACCCCATTGGCCACCCTGCTGTACACACCCCTTCCACAGTGAAGCAACCTTTAGGGGTGTAATAATCCTCCTGAACAGTTGGTGGCAGTGTTTAACAGTTTGAAACATCACCAAGCTCAAAGAAGTGACAAAAAAGTGATTGTTTTCTTTTTCTGACTTATGGTGACAAATGATTTTTTTTCATCATAACAGTGTCATTTTCTGTTATGAAGGCTGCATGATGCTCTGTCCCTTTTGGTTAAGAGTAGACCTATCACTAAATCAGAAAAAGTGAAATGCTCCTTTAAATTCACTGTTGGTGATTATCAATATTACACCTGTTCGGTGGGTAAAGCTATTAATACTAGTTTTAAACTTGCACTAGAAGGTCATCATTATTTGGCACAATGATGTGTCAAAATTAAAAATAARTCAATAAACAATATAAAAGTAAAAAGGCACCCCTAAAGTCATTAGATATGATAAAGTGTATCACATTAATTAACCTTATCTCAGCTGTAGCAGTGAGTTTAAAAACAGCATAATGAAACTAGTTTAATGAAGAATCTGTCTCTGAAATAATTATTAAATCAAGTGTTTTTTTATGTAGGTAAAAGTATATTAAACAACCTGGCAAAATACACCAGAATGCAAGAAATGGCATCTATTTTGTTCAAAATTTTCTGGGGGAGGACCCCCAAACAGTGTGTCCCCCCACTTTTAAAATGGTTCTGACACCCATGTTTATTAGGTAGTCGCTGCCTGTATAAGGACATAAGGAAATGACCAAAACGCAAAGATCTGCAGAAAACTTTCAAGTAAAAAAGTATGTAATTTCCCTGGCCACCCCTGTGTGAGTAGTGGTCCCMGTCTGGCCACCCCTGAGAAAAATGTCTAGCTCCGCCACTGCATGTGTGATTTCACGTAAGTTGTGGTTTCCCTTAAAACGGTGCCCGGGCGTTCCCAGAAGACATCCCTCTGAGATCTGGATTCGTATCAGCTGCTGCTGTCGAGTAGACGTGTAACAGAAAATAAACAGAAATGTTGGAGCTTTGCTTAAAAAGGGACATTGTATCAAAAGGGTCTCAGATACCTTTTCAACACCTAGGAACGTGATTAAAACAGCCAATCAGCTAAAGCCTTATCAAACATATAAAGGGAAAGCAACCCTCGGAATCACCCACCAACTTTCAGTTTTGTGTGTCCTAATGTGCTGTGGGTAGCCATAGGCGTACACCCAAGTCCTTGAGATAATTTGCTAACAGACAGATAATGTTGACTCCCATCAGCTAGTGCTCAGAGGATAAATAGGGGATGAATCCTACAACCACACCAAATTTTAGCTCAATATCATTCAAGTCAACAGAGTTAGAGCCGTTTTTGTGTTTGTTGTTGTCATCTTGACTCCAAATATTAATCAGGTGTAGATGTGCATCAAATGATTACGTCATTAGAATTTCTTTACGTGTTCATTAGATATTTAACAGGGCAGGTATACAGACACCCACACATGAAAAACATTACATTTTACTAGCATTAAATATAATTTCCTTGCCAATTAAAGCTTAAACACACCTCATGTTCATTTGACTTCTTTGTTTCCCACGTTTTGAACATAGCTCCTTTTCAAGGGACATACTGTTCTGCTCATATCACTTCACATTAAAGGGCTAAATGAAGTATAAATAATGTTGTCACCCTCTCCAGCTGAGAAAAGATACCAAAAGTCATCCAAGAGGAATTTAATCCTTTCATAAGACGCAGCTGCGAGTCAAAGGCAGAACCAGGCATGCTCAGACACCTAAACGCACACGGCAGCAAAGCCAAGCACAGCTGTACGTGAATATGTATGACTTACTATGGACATTTTTAGATAAACTAGATTCAAATATGGGCTTTTTTTGTGCTCATCGCGTCTCCTCAGAGACAAATTCACAGTGTGAGGGGAAAAACAGCTCAGTTTTCAGGGGTTTGATTCTGCTTTGCACATTAAAACAAGCAATGATTTATAAAAAAAAAAAATTTAAAGTACAAACAATGTAATGAGGCAACAGAAACAACAACAAGGATGAAAAAAAAAACCTTTATACAGATGTGTACGTGTCATGTTTTATCCATCATAAGTGGTTTGGCTCATGTGCAGACCGATTCCTTTCGTTTTGGGAATTTGCCTTAATTCATCAAACGGTATAAATCCCCGCTGCAGTGTGCACTGTTACTGCAGAAGGTCAGGGGTTTTCAGGGAATGTAATCTACTGTACTGCGTGCTGCAGCACACACAGAGCGGCTGATTCAAGACGAACTGGTTTTCCATCCAACATCCTTCCAAATCACAAACATCCTCCTCCAACAAGGAAGTGTTTGTTCTAGGAAGAAACTGTGGATGAAGGGCACAATATAAAAATAAACTAAGTGACAATAAACTTTTTTTTACTTTATCTAGAGGGAATTGCAGTAGCTGTAGCTGCAGATCATCTCCATTAGCTAAATTACAAATCAGTGTAGAGCTTGGGTCAACAGTCATATGATTTTTTCATTATTATTTGGCTACACAATAAAACAATAAAATCTGAGCAAATTGAAAGGATTTCCCGCCAGCCATGATATGGATTATGCCGGAGCTTTTCCATTCTTGCCGCAGCGGGGATCAGGATTAACATGCATAATTCACTGTCCTCACAGAGTAGGTTATAGGCCAGTATTTAAACAGATGTAACTCTGGTCAATCAAAATGTGGGGCAGCTTGTTGTGTCAGGAAACAGGAGTTTATCCAGCAGCATCAGCCTCATACTGGTTGTAGGGGATCATTAAAAAAGCAGCCTCCTTTGTCTGATGCCATCATGGGAATCTCACTCGTCTTTTCCAATTAAAGCTGGATTCCGACAGCTTAAGAAGTTCTGATATTTAAGGTTGTTATGGCTTAATTTGGAAGTAGAATGTCCCGTGAGACAGGCGAGAGAGCTCCAAATCCTTTGAAAGTCCTGACTTACTGTCATGTCCTATATCATCTGGAAGTACAGATGCCTTGGCCTGTCTAGCTCACCCGCCCATGGCCCTCTCATTCTCACTGCAGGGGGACATTCCTCAATCCTCAGCCTCTGGCATGCAGTAAATCTGCCTGAGAGAGACCTACAGTCAGGCAGAACATGAACTTGTTCTCATTTTTCAACTTGCTGTCTGCTTCAAGTGTATAAATACTCGAGCATTTCGAGACCACAAGTGATTAAAGTGCCTCGAGGTCCCGACRAGGTGAAAGTGCAACTGTAAAAAAGGTGTTAATAGGACAAGAAGGTGGCTCGCTCCCTTCCTGTGTCCTCACATCACTCTTGTCTTTAACTGGCTTCTAAACCTTTCCTTCCCAGTAAAAATGGGGAATTCCTGGCAGCATTCCCTCTTTCTGTCTCTGCACACCTGTGCAACCACTCCTCCAGAGGATGGATTCCTTGGATGAACCTAAGCGGTGGTGCAGAACATCAGCAATCACCGACACA